TTTGCAGCGATCTTGTATAGAAAACTATTCCGCACGTATATAAAACAGGTCAGAGGCTCCAAGCCGTAAAGGCATAAAACCGTAAAGGGACCTCTGGCTAATCTGGCTCGTAGCCGAAAACTAACTTTACTTTGTTGTCTGGGTCAACTTTGCTAGTGAGAGACAGAGAGAGGCGTTGAAAGGCTGCTCCAACGGAGCTTATTGTTTTGGAGGAAAACATGAACACAGTGTACAATCGAGTCTTAACAGCTTATTTACAACTGGGCTACACTGCCCATGAAGCTACATTCTTTAGGACTATGCCTGTAACACTCCGCCTATTGCTTTTTGAACAATAACTTTTAAAAATATTTCTTCACATCATTATGCGGGCCGCAAGTAGAGGTGACATGGGCGGCGAGATTGAGATGCAGGCATTAGAGCCTCTTAATGGGTGTTTTGTTTGGGTTTCCACCGGCGTAGAATTACCAAAAGTAGAGAGGGCACAGACTAACATGAAACAGGAAAAGACCGGCGTGTAATCCATTTATTTCAACAAAGTAACTGTATTTGGAATACCACCTTTTTAAATGCTAACTGTAACGGAATACAGTTACTCATATTTTGTATTTTAAATACATAATGGCACGTGTATTCTGTTACTCCCCAACACTGCACGTATATGTCTTAACTCCTCTAAATGGTTCACCATATACAAGCATAGGTGAGCCCATAAATGGCAGGAAGTAAACTTTCCTTATCAAATAAGGAAACCAGACTCTTACATGCAATGTGCCTGCAGTTAAACACTACAGTTAATAGCATCCCCCACCATCCTAGATGTAGGGGAGGAACAGAAAAATATCTGAACATGCAGTTCAGGACAAGGTTTACAGTTTTAAGCACAACAATGACAACTTTTATCAAACTCACTCCAACAATTACTCTGTTGCGACATTTTGCCCCAGACCTGACCCTGTTCCTCCTGAACTTCCTCCTTTCATGGCCTTTTATGTATTATTTTAGGTGTTTCTTCCATTTCTTTCATTCTGTTTTGCTTATCTACTACGTAATTGTATTTTATCAGCACCATCCTACTTGTACTCCTCATACTTCTTTCTATGAAGAATGAGGAGAATATTTCTATGATCCATCTTTGTTTTGGCTCTTGGTCTTCCTGCACCAGCACTGGTGTCTTTCAGGGCCCCATTCTGCTTTTGTTGTCTTCATCTGCTAGTCGAATCTATAATTCGAATTTGAGTCTTAAATGTAGTAAAACAACAGGGGTTTGGGGTTGTTGTTTTTTACATTCTTGTTGGTTACAGATTGACAGTGGATATGATGCAATGAGACCATCAACAGTCAAAAAATCTTTCTTAGTGTTCTGCAAAATTCTACTGTTACTCACTGACTTGAGATAAAATCTACTCAGCTGCTTTGAAATAGCTTCTAACTGGTTCCTCCCATAACAGAATGGCTAGCTGGTTAAATGATCATGCAACCCAGAAACCTTTCTGCTTCTGCTTTGATTCAGCAGGGACAGGTAGAGTTTTTCACATTCTGATCAAATTACTGCTTGTGGCAGTATTTGATCAGAATGTGATGCAGTATAAATAACAATGAGAAGCTAGGATACTATATTCAACCTGTAATTTATATTTTGTATTTTCCAGAATTATATTAATAAAATTATAAAGTTAACCAGCGACACTGAGAACAACACTCAGTTGAATTATGACAGTGACTCG